ATAAGATTCGTGGTGAGCACGTAGTTTTTAATGTCCCACCTTCATATTCATGGACGCCTAGAGCGGGTTTACACATTACTATTCACGTATTCAGGATGGGCCTAGAGGTTCGCTGTTTATTATCATTAGTTAGTTTATTATCACTTAGATAAAAACTATTGGTAATTGGCGAGATTTCAACCTGGGGTTTCTGGGACACAAATCCCTCGCTTTAACACTGTAATAGACCAGATAGCTTCTAGGAAAAACGCAGTAAGAGTAAGATTAACAGAGTCACAAAAATAACTCTTGTCCATTCGAGCACTAATCAGATGGATAAACTGACTAATCTGTTCTCGTTCTCTGTTTGGATGGCTGCTAGTTCTCTGTCGACTATATATACTCTGGATAGATGCTATTATGGTGACATCTTTTCTCTGTTTCTATACCTGCAAGTTCTCTGCTTATGTTCTCTATTTAGACGTATACAAGTTCTCTGTGGACACCTCTGATCTTTGTTGGCATATCTGCTCTCTATTCTGTTTAGACTGCATGCTAGGCTTCTCTCGACTTGTGACGTCATCTCATCACTCAACAGATTGTTGGAAGGGACCGGATGTCAACAAACAAACGTTCCCGGGAACTTCTGTGTGAAGTGAAACCGAGGATTTGGATTTCTAGTAACCCAGAATACTCCTTGTCGTGATGACGAGCTTGCTGTCAAAGGACCATGTGCTAATAGCCAACTTGCTTTACAATGGGTTTAAATGTGAATTGTGATTTAACAGCTGATTTCCTTCTGTTGAATTTTCAACCTCATTTATTGAATTGATTGATTGATAATCGTAGCCTGATTGAGGTAGGAAAGCTATGCGTTGAAGAGTTTCCTGATATAAAAGTAACACAATATTAGGCGACCCTAGTGGTAGAGAACGGTAATTCAGTCCAGGGGGCTCCGGGGCTCAAATCCCGCCAATGGATTTGATCTAAGTGAAAATGAAGCGACTCTCTAGGATTAGTTTTAAGTAATGTGAAACGGTTTCGGACCAGAGCCTACCTCCAAGGATGACAAGTTTGAACAGTCAAATATTTATTAGACGTTCATAGTACTGACATGAAGATTTTTCATGATTACCGGTACACGTATCTGAGGTATCAAAATTACACTTTTATGATTTCCAATGCTACTCTGAGGGAGAATATTTTACACCCTTTGTTAACATTTTGGAATATTCACTATCCTTCCTCGAGTCCAACCGTATTACCCTTGACTCCTTGATTTCCTTCAACTTGTTAGATGCCTACAATTTTGAAAATTCTGTTGTAGAAGAACATCTTTCTGTTTTCAGATGGAGCAGAAGGCCAGTTCGAAAATGTCCAGCAGCCCAAGAAGAACAGAATCGAAGCAGCCAATGTTGGGCAGCAAAACAACTGTGACACCCCTTCCAGTGGGGCTGAGCAAATGACATCCCGCCCATCAACGTCAGCTCAACCACATGAAGATCAAGCTACACCTCAAGGACCGTCTCTCGTTCCAAACACAGTTTTTCAATACGCAGGCTACCAACCAAGTCATTTGTTCCAAGCAGACGCTCTTAATGCTCCATCAACTTCGGCAGGAAACATGCCATTAGTGATTCACTTCATTGATCTTACATCGGACGCAGTTGAAAATTCTCCAGCTAGAATTATTGAAATTGAATCCGACGATGAAGAAGTGGAAGTAAATGCGCCCGTGCAAATTAAGCAAGAATGTACGTCCGATGATGAGGTGATAACGCACAATTTAATAAATGTAATAGAAGTAAAAACAGAGCTTGAAGTGAACCAAGAACCTATGAAACGCTCTAGTGATGTCATTGACTCGGCAAACTCTAAAGTGTACGACCAAGTGGCATTGTTCATTCCTAACCTGGAGGCGTTGAAAAAACACGGGTATCCTGTTGAAAGCCCGACCAATCCCAACGTGACGATCGTACACAATCCTAATGCGGGGAAAATCGTTCATAACATCAGAGAAACGAGATGGTGTGAAAAAATATGTGCTCGATGCGAAAAAAGCTTCTACATAAATAAAAGCAATTTCTCTTATTACACTAAAGAATCTTGTCGGTACCATTGGGCGAAATTGCGGTCAGAGAGTTATGAGTGTTGCGGTGGACTCGCGCAGTCTAAAGGATGCACTCAAAGTCAACAACACGTTTGGAGCGGGCTGAATGCAGGGGAGAATGAGTTGAGAGGGTTCACCAAACTCGAAGGAACTCCTAAACTCAGTATTGTCGCTCTGGACTGCGAGATGGTGTACACCTTGTCCGGAATGGAAGTAGCCAGCGTGGCCTTGCTGGACATCTTTGGATGCCTCATATTCAAAACTCTAGTTCAGACCCAATACGAAATCGTCGATTTCAACTCAAGATTTTCTGGAATCACCCAAGAGAAATATCTCACTGAGAAAAAGATAACGTTTAAACATCTCCGCAAGGTCCTCAACAGCCATATGAACTCACAAACCATAATAGTCGGCCACGGTCTAGAGAATGATTTGAGGGTATTGAAAATAATACATCATCTAGTGGTGGACTCGGCCATCTTGTATCCGCATCCTAAAGGGTTTCCGGTGCGACGGTCGCTGAAGAATCTAGCGTGGGAGGTCCTTGGAAGGAGAATTCAGGAATCTGGTCAAGGTCACGATCCGGCAGAAGATGCTAAAGCTGCGTTGGCCCTCGTCATTGAAAAGGTTCACAACTATCTTCGAAGAAAGGTCGAGAAGTACGAGTAGATGAACACTCTCCTCGGGAAGTTTTACCAAAAAGAATATTTGTATTCCCTAGTCGATCCTCAATTTGCCAAAGTGTGTAGATACTTCGTATGAAGTCTTTAGAGTAGTCATTAGTTAACCAATTTGTTTTTAATCCGAATTAGATTTAGATTGTAATTGATTTGAATAATGAAGAGTTGCCATATTTTTGGAATTTTACCTAGAGCTATAATGCTTTTAAAATATAATTTTGCTAGCTTTATCATACTGGATACTAAAAATGACAAATACGTGAATATTTAAAATGGATTTTTGTATTGCCCGTGGTCAATTCTTAATTTTCCTCAAGTTTGTTACTCGTATTAAGTCTTTGAAACGATGAGTAGTTTAAGCATTCCTTTTTTATCCAATTTTAAATTTAGATTTTAATTTACTTGAAGGATAAAGAATTATATAATTATGTTGCCAATGTTATGTGGAGCCATATAAGTTTTGTAATTTTAATTTTAATTTTGATATAGCTTTGGTACTATAAAATACGATGGGTACAAACCAGCCATATTTTAAATTATCTCATGTATGTATGAATCTCATGTTGTGTATCTCATGTAAGGAATACACAATTCGTTTTTGATCTCACTATTTATACTTACATCTCCATAGAGTGGAGTTTTCTATTAGAAAAATTTTTAATTTCGCAGAATCTTGTACTGTTACTGTCACTTATGTTTTAAAGTTAACAAATATGATATGTATGTAGTAGACCTTCAGATAACACTTGCTTCCGTAGTTGTCCGTCCAAGAATATAGTCTGACCAAATATGTTAATAACTTTTTATTGTAGCATAGAATAAATAATTATTTTATAACGATGTTAGATATAGTAGTGAATAGTTTCAAGTAGAATTGAATAAGTTTCAAATCACAATGTTATAATGTAACAAATAAGAAACAATTTGTTAATATTATGACAATTTTATACTTTTGATATTGTAGTTTGAATAATAAACAAAATGTTATGGTAACTGATTTATTCATTGACCTCATATCCTGTATAATAATTGAAAATCAAGTATAACATTTATTCATTGCAGCTCAGCATTAAAATATAAAACACAATAAATATTACTATTTTATACGTTTATATTGTTTTTAATAATATAAAACCATTTGAAATACGTGTTTACAAAATGAATACTAGGCCGAAGTTCATTTTTAATAGCCTAATTGAAATAACTTGGTAACAACTTATACGTTAAAGTGTGTTTGCTAAAGTATCTATGTACATTAATTATACTTGAATGTGTATTTTCAATTTTGAATTATTTATTCAGTAAGATAAAACAATACATTATCTAACTAACTAAAATGTCAAGACCTATATATAACTTGAAACTGGCATTTCCTCATTCAGTGAAAAAAATTTAATGAGTTCAGAAAAAGAGGTTGAGTGAAAGTTGAGATTTGTTACGTCATAATGTGATAAAATACACTTTCTGAGAAATCTGAGTGTCAACACCATCGAGAAGGCTGTGGAAGAAGAAGAAAGACCTTGGCTTGGCGATTGAAGAGAATTTGTTATCCTATTAAAAAAAAGGTAGGTACAGTATTGATATTACATTATTGACTATAACCTTGTTATGTTCCAGGGGTTTTTTTAAATTTCTTACTACTAAATATTTATTCAATTTGTAGAAATATATTTAACGTACCTAATGTATCAGTACTGTAAAACTACTTTGATATTTGATTGACGATCCTTGTTTATCGTCCCAGAGAAATATGTGGTTGCTGAGTAATTTTAGGATTTAAAAACTTTGATTTTTGTATGATCGTCGTAGAACTTTTAGAATATTATAGGAGAGCTTAAAATTGATTACTCACTAAGCATATTTTAATATGTAACTTATACAAGTTCTATGAGTGTAAAGAAACATAGGTATAATTACTAAAATCATTTGAATACTAACGAGCGTCAATCAAATGGCAAACAACGCAGACCTTTTTGCTGCTCAGAGTTGCAAGTAAATCGTTTGGTAAGTTTCAGGGGGAAAAACTGTGATTATGCAGTTTGCTATTGCCAGATTGCCGCTCAAATGACGTGTATCTGTCACTATCCCCAGAGGCTACGGGATTCCGGCCAAGACCGGCGTTTCCAAGGAAATGCGAGCGAGAAGAATGCGGTGCGTGAACATGGGAGGGGATCCCCGCCATCGTGACGTCAGAGGGTCGGAAAGTGAGTCAAGAGGTGTAGAGGGGAGCCACTGCATGTGCTGGCGGCTAAAGGTTCACTTCGTCAGCGAGATTAAGAGAGGAAGGAGTTCAGCGCTAGATTTAGACCCTGACAGTTGTCCCCCACGTCGGTGATGTGTACTACAACTTTAATAGTGTGTTCTACAACAGCGGTGCCCAGCGGACAATGCTTCAACAAACATCTCTCACTCACTGCCTACTGTATCAACGAGCCCGCAGCTGATCAGCAATTCAGTTCCCGCCATTTATACAGACAGCAGTAACCTCGTGTGTGGTGAAGTGCGTGAGTGAATCGGAGTGTTTTCGTGATAGTAATTTTCAATTATTTCACTATGGTGGAGTTTCTCGTGAGTGCAATTACTGATTTTCCAATTTTTATAATCACCCTGATATTGGGTGCGACCGTTTTAGTGATTGTGTACATATCGAATTTATTTAAGTCTCAGAAAGAAGAACCCGTAAAAAGTAAGGTTAACTTTTAAGCATAGTATTAGTGTGGATTTTAACTTATACTCGAAACTACTTTCTAATGGCTTCAGAGGTTCAGTACTAATTGTTATTACTGACTTCAATCATATTCCTCAAGTATTAGCTCAAGTATGGATTGCCATATTTTATGAGAGAGTCTTCGTGTTTACTATGTCTTTAATGTTGAGGTTATGTTCGCCGGTTTAGGTTGTAAATAAGCTTTGATTCTTCATCAAACTAGGCCATAACTTGGTAGTCAGACTTTTAACTCAACCAATTACGATTGACTTACAATCACGATCCCTTGTTTTAAATTTGGAATAAATATTTTCCACATCTGAGCACAATTCATAAATTTAATGTTATGATGTTATCATTCATCTAGTTGAGTTAGAATAATAGGGTCTAGGTTAGGTGGGCCTACAGCTTAAGTGTTTGGAAAGTTGGAGGTTATTCTTAAGCCCCTTACCTTAACCATCCCATTAATATTAGTCCCATTTAGAAGATTTAGCATATTAATCTAGATTTAGGTCTTTAAATCTGAGAGGATTATCTTACTTGTCATAATAGGCTAGTGAGAAACATATCTTTGCTTAGCTGGTTTTGTTTCTTGGCCTAATGGTTTGCGGAAGAACACAAGAAAGTACTCTTTAGTTTTCTTCTTACTGTTAATCAAAATTGTACTTGTTTCCCACTTAGATCCCAACTTTAATGTTTAATATGACATCATTTAACTAACTTACAACTTTCTTGACTTCAAACGCTGAGACCTCCTTGTATTCCTTGAATCCAAACTCTATCATGAATAACTTAAAAGCCTACCTTCATTTGAATAGGCCCTAATTTGGCTAACTTAAGATAGAGACAGGTGGATACAATTTATCATATGTTAACTTACATACGGTACTGTAACTACTTACTTAATACTTACTAACTGCATTCAAAGTTTTTCTCTGTGGGATAAGATCTCTGCGGTGTTACATAAGGATACCCTAATCTAGGCATGTCATATTAGTTTATAAGATCCTTTTTCTTACGTCAAGAAGCAAAGGAAACGTTATCAAACGGAGCAAAGACGAACCATCCAATTAATGCTCTTAAGGGAAACTAATATCTTTCACCACTTGTTTTTAGGAGTCTTCTTACAATATTCTTGAATTCTTCTTTACTTCTGATCATACTTAAGCAGTAGAGTATGGACTCTACAATCAAATAAGTAATGCAAATTCAACTGGCTTGATGCAAATACATGGATAAATTTGTTTAGGGCCTATTGCTGTAAATATTCTTCAACAGTTTTCTTTGCCATTGGTTTTCTCTTTTATTATAACACCTTTTCTCTATAGGCAGTTCTAATCCGTCTAGCAATAATTCCTAGAACAGGTAGCCTAAGTGGTTTACAAACGACTAGTTTTATTTTGTATAGGCCTAGGCAAATTTACTTGGCCATATGTAACCTCTTAATCAGGTACGTAACTTACTTCAAACTAAGTCCTTTTGGATCAATCAAATAATTTAGAGGGCGCAATTAATATTTTTTTACAGGATATTGACATGTTTTGAGGTACCGATAGGCATAAGAGTTATATTTTTATGTTCTTTAGCCAACTTGTTAGGAACCGGTATATGGACTAAGTTACACGTGATTACAAGGATTTATAATTTTTAATAACAGATTTAACCATGAATGAAGTAGAATATTTAACATCCATATATCACACTTTTTCATTTGCTTTCGGCTTGACCAGCCAGGCCAATTTAAGATTAAGATTTAACTTACCTGAATAAACCTAAAACAATACCCACGCCGCCTCGCCTCAGCAAAACTGCCGGCCAAGCAAAGATTTTGAAACATTTTAAAAACCCCATAACATTTTGTTATCATGATCGAATCTGTCTGGTCCGCAAGTACCGGTGCTCATTAAAATTAATACAGCCCTTCACATTCCTGCGAATAAAAAAAATTACCAATTACATCAGATCAAAAATCCCTTCAATAATAGGCTTCAAAGATACAAGTTTTTTGGCAGTAGCAACAAATCCTGGTATCCAAGTACAATCCTTGGTCTGTATCCTGTAAATGACGGATTTCAGGAATTTGTCTTAATATGATCAAATTTTAAATTTCGATAAAACAAATTTCTACATTTGCTTTTCCCTCTAAGGGGTTAGGAACCTATATAGATGACTTGGGTATCTATTTATTCAATCATATATAAAATGCCTAAGAGACAAGGTTAATTTCTATTCAAAATATTTTTCGTTACCGGTAAGTTACTTAAAATAAAATAAGTTACTGTTTGTCCTTAATCCCAAATTGTTAAGGAACATAAAATCTGCCAAAATGTCAAAGTACATAAATCTTTGAAAAAATGTTTTGCAAGTTATACGTTATAACCAGCACCGAGTGCCTAATGCAATGCAGATGGAATATTAGCTTGCTGTTTTGTAGTCATAAACTGAAAATACATTTATTGCCGTACTCAACTCGGTTTGCATTCGTGTTACTCATACACCTCATTCGCCATATGAGCAACATCATACTCGTAAATCTTAATCTTATTTGCGGAAAACCCATTTACTTGGTGAGCAATAAACGGTTAAAAGTGGTACTTTGGGTACCATATTAAATCATGTTTAGTGAGGTATGGAGAAACAACAGTTCTTCGGTAATTACAGATGAAGAAAAGTCAGTTGTTAAATCTATTCAGTGCCGAAAATTCAAAAACAGTTCTGGTTATAAAACTTTATGTAATATGCTGGTCAATATTTGATTGATTTCTAATATAAGCTAATTTTATTTGCAGTTCAAAAGAAATTGTTAACTAAACATATTTTTTTATTTCTTTAGAAAACTCAACTTAAAACTCTGGATTTATGTTTTACAAGTTTAAATGTATAAATCTTGGTACAATAAAACACCTTAGCTTTTCTGTAAAACCATCCTTTTTTAAGCCAAATCGAAATATTTTCGGGAATGAATTTTTATCTTTAACGATATGGACAGTCAGGTTTAAAATACTTTGTCCAAGTTATTCTTCAGTCAATGCAACTTCATGCAAACGTAAAAACTGCTTAATCTGTTTCCATTAAAGCCAAGTCATGACTGAAATTGCTGATTTTAATAATGTTTAAACAAACATCTTAAAAAGCTTTAGTGAGTGATTATTAGAAATAAGACAGAGCAGATTTTCACTAATAATAATTCTAATTAAGTAATAACACAGAACATGACAAAGTATTTACTGTGAAGTTGTATTAATTAATTATCGATTCTCATTCTCACCTTTTCTACCGGCTATGAATTCTAATTTTGGGATACCTTTTAACACCATAAACAATAAGAACATCCTACAGTAGGTAGGCTATATTTTTATTTACTATATTTTGTTATATATTTTATTCCTTTAGAGAGTTGTAAAATAAACTTTGGTATCGTAAATCCTTTTATTTAGCAGATAGTGCGGAAGGGTGGGAGTAAGTTTGGATTATTTTAGATTGGACATATTTTTGTTTTACTCATCTATTCTTTTGACACATTTGATGGTAAAACTTAATTAAACTTAGGAAAACTTGGATCCCAATCCGTTATGACTTTAAATACTACCTAGTACCTTTTTAATTAAATATTGACATTAAAACAAACAAAATTGTATCCATCCGATATAATAAGGGCTTAAATGATATAGATTGAACGTTAAAAGTTAAACAATAGATTTTTGTTTATTTTAGTGCATAATTCGGTACCGGTTAACTATTCAATTTCAGTGATAATATTTTATTTGGAATTCCTACACCTTTTAATTAAAAGCCTGTATTTTATTTAAACAAATCAATTGAATAAAATAAATAATTTGTTATAGGCCCACTAACAATATACAGTATTAAATAGGTACTAACTGCTAGAAAATAGGATAAAACAGCCAACAGCCTATACATTCTCAAACCGTAATCTGTAAAAGTTGCACAATGCATTCTGGACACATGTCATCCCCTTATCTCTAAACCTTTAACCCAGTCTTTGTTCCCAAACTCTTTGTTCCCTAACTGGGTTAGCAGCACTGTTGATGACTGTATCACTTATGACTCACACTGTATACAACTACCTCATGTCACTGACTAGTTTCATCATTCAGTTCCAGTCCACACTAGTGTAGCCAACCAGACTACTAGTGATAGTGCATCAGCCATGTTGTTGTTTGTTCAAGGAGGTAGTGTCTTTGTTTATTTGTCTTGATAGGTGTGCTATTCCATTTTCTAGCCATTCTCATTCTGTGTCTAGTGGTGTATGTTTCTGTGAACCCCATTGTGGGGGTGTTATAGGTACTCAGACTATGGGTAAGCTGTGATTAGGGTGTTGAAAGTTTAAAATGTTGTAGTAAGTAGTGTGTAGATAGTTAATTTTAATTTCCAGTTCTCATATAAGGTGTAACACATAAAAAATGCAGTAGTTTGACCTAGCACACAATTAATTGTGCTCTTGTATAATTTGATTTTCTATAAATAAACACAATTTATTTTAATACCAGATACTAAGTGGTAAAAATTCTTACCAGAACGGTAGTTAGTTAATTAATTTCTTTTACTTTTAGTGGAATATATCAGTAGGATAGGTATTATGTTTGGATTATTTTGCGATAGGCCCTAATCATTGAATAGTTTTCAGAATAACCTTATATAGGTATTAACCTATAATTTAGGATTTTATAGTTCAGTTAACATTTTGATGCTAGAACACATCATTCAAGGTTAATCTTTCTTTTTACAAATGGTCCGAAACTACATTTTATGTCAAACATCATTGATATGAATATTAGGTACCCAAAATAGTAGGGCACTTACCCAAATTTAGCAAATGTTTAAAATTTGAATGGATTACTTTTATACTCCGTTCAAACAGCCGTGGCACCTGACGATTAGGACACCCCATGGAAACCCTTGGGGCCTCCTAATCCCTCAGGTGCCACGGCTGTTTGAACGCACTATAGTTTACTAGGTAAATGAAGATTATGTCAAATTTTTACCGTAATCAAAATTTAATTGTGTGCTACGGTACCTAACTTATTAGTGGATCATTTAAAAAATATTAGCCTACAACCAATATGAGTTAGTTTGTGCGTCAAATCAAACAATAACTTTTTTTATAAACTACTTCGTAGAATTTAATTTTTATTGTAAAAATCATCCATCACCTGTAGGTGCAACTTGAGCGCATGATAAGAATACCGGTGACTTTGTTCCCTTAAAATCGGTTTTCATTTGATATTTCACAGTGTAGGTAGGCCTAATTGCTTTTAAATTATTATTGAAATTTGTCGTAGTATTTTGACTCTTTTAACATCAACCTACCGATACCTGGTACCCATATGTACTTTACAAATTAAGTTTTATTCCCCTGACTAGCATTTTTTAGGTTGCAATACAATACGCTTACAGGAATTCACTTTTGGCCTTTTACAAAATTCTCAGCTTAAAAAGTTAAGTCGATAAAGCCATAAAAACTTTTTGTACTAGATCAGCTGGTAGGAATCTCTAATGCTTCAACCGAGAAGTCAAATGACAAGAAACGGTACAACAAGGAACGGTAACAAAAACGGTAACAAGTCAGACGGCAAGAATTTAAAAGAATTTGATTTAAAAAAAACATTATAGGCCTAACCAATTCATTGTGCTACCGGTAGACAATTTATTGACTGCATTCTTCTCAATTAGTTACCATACTTGACTTTTACTTTTTTGCAGGTGTGTCGAGTGAGGAACGGTCGCAAGTGACCAAAGTTACTTCGAGCGACCAGACAACAGTCAAGACCAAGAAGAAACCAGAGAAATGGAATCAGAAGTTGTCTAAACAAACTTTCACCCATCAATGGATGGTTTCCAGTTTGAAAGGTCACTCGGGCCATGTCACGGACCTTGACTTCAGCTCCAACGGAAAATTTCTCGTCACCTGCGCAGAAGGTAATGTTTGTGTTCGGAAACTCAATCTTAGGTATTTAAACATGTAGCTAAGCATGTGTGGCAAAAAAACGCAATTTATGCCTTTTTTAAAAGCCCGGGCTAATTGACAAATTTTGAAGGAAATAGCCTAAACAAGGGTGAACTATTACTTAATTAACTTTGGGAATAAAGATGAATTTCAATATGAAAGATCACATAAATTTAAACCACCAGATGCGACTTAGATTTTTTTAAATCTAAAATTTATACAATTAGACTGAAACTCGAAAACTTAACATTTAGGTGTAATAATTTAGTTGTAATAATCTACTCGTAATAATTTAGCTGAAGCATTACGTCCCTTGCGATTATCAATTTTATTGCAGAATTTAAAATAATTATTTTTTGAATTCTAATCAAAAGAAGTTTAATTTGTTGGAGGATTTACCCTTCCTTAGGACCAACCTTAACGGAATTCCTTCAAAAATAACTTTGTTTAACAGCAGTAACTTAGGCCTACATCACATGCAAAAATTAAAACTGACCGAAACATAAGTAACAAAAATACCACTGGAGTAGTGAATCAGCATAGGAATTTATATTTCAATTTTATGATTGTTGTTACCCAGCTAGGTATAAGTAAAAAATAATCAAAAGCTCCGATTCTGACTAATTTGTTCACTTGCAAACTTTCGACTTCTCAGAATTTTAAAGAGTTTAGAGTGAACTGGTGTTTGTCAGCAAGCACATCTTTATCTGTGACAGAAGTGAATCATGTTTATTCTCAGTTCTGATAAGACCAAATGGGTGTAGTCAGTTGTAAACGGTTGTAAGTCCGTGGTTATTTCTGCCTGTCAGTGGACTAGTAAGTAGGTGGCACTGGAAAGCGGATTTGTCACTTTAGTTAGCGTCTGTTTGGTAACTTTCGATATTAACTTTGCTACTCGCGGCCTTGTTTTCACTCTGTTCTAAATGTGAGTTGTTTTTAGCTTAGAGGGAATGAGGTTAAGCTTTTGTTGTGATTGGCTGTACGTAATGTCGATGGATTTTACCTCGGGCATTACGGTGTTTAGCCTTATCGCTTTTGTTGATTGCGCTTTTTTATTATTAAAATATTAAGTAACCCAAGTTGATTAATATCACATAACTATTTTGAATACAAACTAAGTAGGGCCTACTTTAAATGAATACCTACTGTACTTTTGACATTTAAAAATATTATTTAGATGTTATTGTCCACACAAAATCACTATGGCTTTAAAACTGTAAAATAAACTAAAAAGTTAGAGATAACTTAAAGAACAAACACTAAATAAGAACTTATTTCAAGTAGATTGAATCTTAAAAATTCCATGTTAATAGATAGTAGTAAAAAAATAAACTCATACAAAACCTGAAAAATTGCCAATTAACTTAATTACCCGCATTAAGTGCTAATAATTCATTCATACATTAATTTACTCATAGTGAAATACAACTGCCAGTTGCTGCAGATCTCTAACTTTTCACCTTATACATAAATAACATGTTTATCTAAATTTGACCACTCAATCAAAGATATTGGTTAGCCTTCATCAATAATTTGTTCAACAAAAGTATTATTAAAGTGTTGTTTCATTGAGTTTATTTTGAACAGATTAAGTTTATTCATGCACTTAAGGCTGTCCAATAATAGTCATTATTCACACAATTTCTGGGTTGTATTAGGTAACGACATAGTTTTAAATTAGACAATCCAACAACATTTTTCTCAAATCAGAGAAAATGACTAAATTTTTTACACAGGCCATTTAATTATTAATTCTCAAATTAAAATTTTTGGTATGGATTCAGAAAACACAGAAAATTACTAAGTATTAAGATTCCTTCAAACACTTGTAAGCAACACACATCTCCTATGAAAGCTATCTTGAGTCAATTCTAATTACGAGTAATAAATACCCTAACGCTTTCCAGTATAAACCTTTTAAGGTGAATTCTTTTTTCTTACGCAGACGACATTGTTTTAGAATGTTAGCAAGCAATGTGTGTGGTTGCGGAAGAATTGAACCATCATAATTGTCATTTAATTGTGACGAATTGTGATGGATGTTGTGAATGAATGTTGTCGTCCTCCATGCTATAGAGAGAAAATTGTTTGTTCTAAAACGTTTAAGAGCAAACTGCGTTCAGATCTAATTGCGCACGTGTATAAATTAATTGCTCTTTACGCTAGTACTTATGGCAATGATGTCATGTTTGTTAACTAGTTCCATTTTGACTCTGTCATCTCACTTCATGGTGTTAGTCAGAGATTAGTAAACAATATTATCTCGGTTGTTACTTACTAGTTAGCCATGGGTTTATTAGCCTAGGTTTTGTTTGTTTGAAACTATATCCATTAACTTGAACAAATTACGCGCTAAGAATGTCGGTGGACGAATTGGTTCAAAATATAGTCTTATCACAACTAACCTTTCACTATTCAATTTTTTGCGTTTATGAAAGTCGGACATTTAGTTAATTCCCATTAATTGGTACCGAATTAGGTTGTTTTAATGAACGTTTGGATTGAATTGAATGATTCTTACACAAAGTAAGGTAGCAGTATTCCTAGATTGTTTGAGTACCCTTTTGTATGAAACAGAAAAAACCCTTTTGGATAAACAGTAGTTATGTGTTAAAAATATCTACAATACCTAGTAGTTAAGGGCGGCACTGCTAACTATTTTATATACTGCTTCTCAAATGGCTGTTCGGATCAAGCAAACTTACTACTATTGAGGGGTTTACTGAATAATAGTTATCTATTTGTAATAATCCTGCAGATGAGTTCCAAAAGCACGTTTAAAGAACAAACAGCTGACAGTAAAAATTTAATGTACAAAGAAGGTAAAAATAGTCTAGAAAGCTTACTTAGAGTCAATAAATATGTGGACATATTTTGTAATGCTAAATTTTAAGTGTTTACAACACTATAATGGATAGTTTTCTACTTTCTAATCATTAAATGCACACACTGATAGAGAAATTCAGCCGTGGGTGAATTATACACTTTATTGAAGACTCATTAGTACGGTGTGGAAACTTACCTTGTGGCAAAACAATGTTTAGTAGACAACTTTGCTATTTTTACACTCAGTCAAGGAAAGGTATTTGAAATTCAACCTGCCATATGTTGTTAAATTAGTTTGTCACCCCCTTTCTTGTAAATTTTGACAAAATTCAGTTTTGTAATACATGTAATAACCTGAGTTCAAATTTGTTTTTGCTGTAAAATACTAATTACGGTGCTAGAATTATTTTGTGTCTCTTCTCTATTGAATTAAGATCCTTCTTTCTTTTTTCTTATATTAGAATTTTGTTATTTTGTATATCATCATAAGTAAGAGTATTATTGAGATTTGAAAACCATGCCTTACCTAGACATAAAAAAATACTGTTGTCCTATTCATTGCTTGAGAAGTTCAATCCCACAAATGTTGTAGTTAAGTGAAATAAAAAATATTACCAATATTATATGCCAATAATAGATTTCTTAAATTATGCCAAGCACTTTTTCAATCAACAATTATTTGGTTCAACTATTAAATATATCTAAAACTCTTTGTAACAATCAATTTTCCTACGAATTCCCCTTTGAACCTAGCCTTTAATTTCAATAATCGCTCACTAAAAAACTAATTTGAAATAAGAAAAAAACAATTTAGACCACTAAATGCAAAATTAAACCTGTAAATAAAGAGATTTGGTCCTAACACCCTGAGTCCTAGACCTAATTTCACCTATGATTTCTCCTGGTTATTTCCAAATCTGGTATCATCTTCTGTGGCCTACATTCCCGTTGATACTCTACAACCTTCACCTCGTCAGAACGTGTCGGTTTCCATGTGTCAGCTGTTTCTTGACCCTTTCGCTACTGTTGCACTTCTCGTGTTTTTATTTACCATGCGGCTCGCCTTGGTTTTCTCACGGACAAACGGAAAACATTTCCAAACTGGTTTTGTGTTTGTGTCTCGGGTTCAATGTTTCACAATGGTCTGCTCTGCCATCAATCCATGTTATCTCTTGGGTGTAATTTTACTTGAGGTGGTTCCAATTGGGAACCAGTTGTTGTTGCGATTTAAAGGTTTGTAGTAATGTTTGGTGTTATAATAAAATTTGTATAATGCTAGTAAATAATTTTAATTAATATTATAACTCAATAAGTTGTCTCCCATATTGGCTATAGAGGGTAAATCAATTTGTCATAAGTTGCTTGTTAACTATCGGGAAAATTCAAAATTTTATTTTAGACTCAAACTATAAATAACTTTACATCAAATTGAATTTGCTAATGATGTAATTAGGGTTAGTCAACAGAAGGGAAGGAGTATACTTTAGATTCAGGCAAGTCACTCAGTGGATTTTAAGCTAATAAACAGACTAAAAAATAATATTTCAAATTTAATTTTTAAAATGTATCTTTTCAACTGTAAATCCATTGCTAAGGTGAAACTATCACTAGATTTCTTATCATGTTAGGTTCTATTGAGTGTTGAGGATTAAGTAGATAAAATTTAGTGAGTTGTTTGTTATTTTTCTTCCTGAGATCACTTCATTTAAACATCTCGACAAAACGTGAGTCTGTTCATTTTTATATCTTGGTTGAATATAATACTTATTTACATTTTACAAATCCAAAACAGAGGTAACATAAATTAAACCTTCCAAACAAGTTAGAGTAGTTTTTGCTATTTTTTATTTCTTTGAACATTTTGTTAATTTAGGCTCACTTGTAATAAAAAATGTTTAGTTGCCTAATTACGTTGAATTGACAGTTTTTTCCCAATGTGCTGTGAGTAGATTAAATATTGACCATGTGGCTGGATTACAAAACACAGAGCTTTCACTTTTCTAAATTAGTTTTGGGGATTCTCAGATTCTTGCGCTATTCAGAATACTCATGAGTCTGGCAGCTTATATTAATCTTTAAAGCTTTCCCAACGACAACAACTTTCAAAATAGTATTCTGTACCAGAAAGTTGAACAAAGTTGGCATTCTTTGTATTTCTTCCAAAAAAAGTTAATTATTTTTATTCTGTCAGTATATAAAATATTGGCATCGTCATAGTTAGACGATAGTTTTAAAGTTTGTAGGTACCATAGGGCTACAAGCATTGGCATATATGGCTAAAAACTTATACTGAAAATTTAGGTTCATAAAGTATTTTTATCGTAGGAAAATTTAAGAAAACTTCCATTTGTCACCTGCTACTTAGGAAATGTTATTGAGAAATAGTCTGAAATAAATAACTAAGACTTATAAAAACATTTAATTAAACTATATTTTTAACCAAAGTAACCGAGGGCATTACTTTCCGAATTTAGCATTTCAAACGTAGGCAGACAAGTTTAAACTAGGAGTAATGCAATCGTAAACAGAGTTGCCAACTAGGAAACACTAATATATCGTCAGAGGGGAGATTACAGTAACTCAGCTGATGTGCGGTAACATAATTAACGCTACTTTGTATCATTGCGGTGATCTAGCCTTGGTCTCTCACACATGCTGGCGTAAAGCCAAACTGCGGCTACCGATGCAGATGTGTTGACAGTGTAATGTCGTTGGCACCGTGTGATTAGCCGATCACATTCACCACGGATGTAATTAGAAACAGCCTACACTGGTTGACATGCTGCAGTAAAAAAATATGTTAGGCTAAAACTTTACGCATTTTTATTGAAAAAAATATGTTAGGGCCTAAATATTTTAGGCTAAAACTTAAGCATTTTTATTGGTTCATTAATGTTATAGCTTCTAGGCTTTGAAAAATTTGAAATTCACTGTAAATTATTAAAACAGATCTGTTGTTGGTTTGATTTAATTCCAAGCAATGTTTGGTTATAGTTTGACGGTGGTTAGGTTAGGTTGGTGGTTTATTTGGTTCATTGCTATTAGGCTCTTGAAAACTTGATTTAATGTCTTTCTTATTATTTGTTATACATAGCCTAACTAGTTGTCTGTGGTTGGGTTAGTTTATTCGTTTATTAGGCTTAGCTATTTATTAGGATAGGCTGTGAAAAATTTCAAGCAAATTAAATGCACTGTATGATACATGTAGGCCTACGATATATTGTTGTAACAGTTGTAACAGCATTTTTGAGTACTTGCAAGTTTTTCTAAATCCGTACACTAGGTTGTAAAGCTCTGGCGTATTTTTGTATCGTAACAACAAGTTCAGCGCTGGTAACGTTTATTTCAGTCTAGTCTAATAGTTTGAAGACATAGGCATCATAAATGTACACACAGTGGAGTTGACTGTGTTTAAAAAATTGATTTAAATTTACTACACAGTCCTAAAAAATTTAAACTTTTGTTAAATGGATGTAAACACACGTAACAATCCCTATACTGCTGCTGAGTGTTAGTTCAAAATTTAAAAACCTTTGGGGATCCGTGATCGTGATGTTTTAAGGGAAGAAATACCGTACCCTCATAAAAACAAATTACTGTCACAAACCTAAACCACGTTGAGCTTTAAGAGACATTAAGGTATTTACAGTAAGAATAAATTTTACAGTAAGAATAAATTTTACAGTAAGAATAAATTTTACAGTAAGAATAAATTTTACAGTAAGAATAAAGTTTACAGTAAGAATAAATTTTACAGTAAGTATAAATTTTACAGTAAGAATAGATTTTACAGTAAGAATAAATTTTACAGTAATTAACTCACAAATTAGAATTAACCTAAACAATTTAGCATTAAAGGAGGGAAATAAAATTCAAAAAATATTAGTAAAAATTATTGTAGGTAAGCCTATTATGCACTTGACTCAACTCGTAATCCATGTGAAGCGAATGCTTCTGACTGCGTGCACGTGTGGTATATCGTAGTATGTTAATCGTTAACAAACAATTTCTGTACATCTGGGCCATGTGTTATAGTTATTTTCGTTTTCAATTCTTCAGCGTAGTTCACTCAACTGCCATCAGCTGTTCTATTGGTCAGGCCTTGTCAAGAGGTAGACAATTAGCTTGAAATTATGTAGCCAGTTTATTTTCCTCATCTGTCTAATTACGATTTTCAAAGTTTATCTCATAAAATGGCATTTAATCACTAATAGCAAGTGTAAACACCAAAAACTTTTATAAAATAAGTCTGCTACATGAATCCTAACTTAGCCGAAGATTTTTCATTTAATAATTAAAAAAACACCTGTCTACAAAAACACATAGGCTTAATGTTAATTATTTTCAGGTAATAAGATATGTTAGGTAACTACTTAATTATAAATACCAAATCACAAATTCCTCATGGATGATATTATAAAATTTAAGGATGTCTATATTCTATGTTGACTTAATCTTTTTAAATTCATACTGTATTTGTGATGGATAGTTAAGTTTAAAACATATCTAAAATTTAAACAAAATCTGCAGTATCTCTTTAACCCTAATAGTGTCTCCTTGCATCGTCAAATTGTCATTGTTTAAATTGTAAAACCAATAGGCCTAGTAGGTGTTTAGTAAACCCTTTTTTTTTGAGTAAAATCTTTCTGATAAGCATTGGGTTTTAATCCAAGTGACGATCATAAACTTTCATCAAAATTTAATTATTGACAAATTTAAACCCTTTTTACCTGCTATACTTTTCAATTTAAAAATTAGATAAATTGTAAAAAGGAACTTTATTTGCGTTTATGATATTTTGTCAACAATTATTTTTACTACATTATGATTTTCCTCAAACTAAAATTCTAATTTAACCTTCAACTCTATTGGTAGAGTAAGACTTAAGTTGCTTGTGTTGGCTAGCAGATGGCAGTAGCGGAACTTCGAGTGGAAGTGAGGGCAATAAGGAGAATAATCCACGAACACAACCGCTGAGTCGACGACAGAAGAAAAACCGGACGAGAAAAGACGATGGCTCGCCAGGAACAGTGAAGAAGAAGGAAGTGATGCGACAACAGCGGCAGAAAACTCCATCTGAGATGTCAAAACAGCTGCAGGCGCTCAACAGTTACTCAGAGTACGAGTTGTACAACTGTCTGAGGAACTACACATTGGGTCCTGCGCAATTGTTGGAGTTGGGTTTCCCGGTGGAGAGTTCGCTGTACCCCGGCCGAGCGATGATCTACAAAGCGTCAGACCCCAGACCGACCCACAGACCTGGCTTTGACGTCAACGCAAGGGAGTTCATCCCCAAAGAGAACAACTCCTTTTACATCAACTCACTGATTGACAATTCGTACGACTACAAACAAATCTACGGGAGACCCAAGATCTTCCGGGAACCACAGGAAACGAGGGCGGAAGAACGTAGGTGTGTAAGATGCTCGAAAGAGTTCTTCGTTACGAACAAAGGCGAGTATCTGTCGAACGAGCATTGTTCATACCACTGGGGAAAGCTTCATCCTAATAAGGAGCACCCCCTTCACTACACTTGCTGCAGAGGTAACCCGTACTCGAAGGGGTGTGCCTCGGGGAAGTTACACGTCTGGAGCGGAATCTGTGTGGGGATGAACGGTCCACTGGAGGGGTTCGTAAGAACTCGGCCACGCAAGAATCCTCCTCCGGACGAACTGCCAGGCATTTACGGGCTGGACTGCGAGATGTGTTACACGACGACGGGGCTGGAGTTGGCCAGAGTCACTGTGGTGGCACGTGACGGAAAACTGGTCTACGACTCTCTGGTGCGACCAGAGTCCGACATCATCGACTACAACACACGTTTCTCTGGCGTCTCAGCGAAAGACTACAGCAACGGCAAATGTGCGAAGACGCTACGAGAAGTGCAGAACGACTTGATGGGTTTCATCAAGGCAGACACGATCCTCATCGGTCACGGGCTCGACAATGATCTCAGAGCGTTGAAGATGATCCACACTACTTGTGTCGACACTTCCATCATCTTCCCTCATCACTTCGGTCTGCCTTACAGACGTTCGTTAAAGAGTCTCGCGGTGTTCGTTCTTAAAACCTCGATACAAAACAGTTCGAGCGGACACGACAGTTGTGAAGACGCGAGGACTTGTATTGGTCTCATGTTGTATAGGATACAAAAAGACTTTCAAGCGGTGTTTAGTGCGTGATTAGTTTAGGTTAGGTTAAGTTTTCATCTTGCGATTTCACTCATTCGTTTACGGACTCGCTGATTTTCATCTAGTGCATTTTTTACTAGTTCCTTTTAGTTTCGTATACGGATACTTTTGTACGAGGCTGTTCATAAGATAGTGACTTACCGATTTTTTGGTAAGGTTTAAGTATTTTTTATTTGGGGCGTTGATTTTGAAGTAAGTTTTGACTTTGTGTTTTGAAGTTTGGTTTGAGAAAGATGTAACAACTTTGTTGCTGGCGACTGCTGTGTTTACTTTTGTACTGGGAAATTTGATAAAAAATCTTACAAAGATTGATCTAATTTTTATTATTTACAACCCGAATTGTTTTTCATATCAGGCCCTAATAATTTAAATAAAATCCAACAATAAAACCTTTTACCACATTTGAAGAAAAAATATCCTTAATCTGCAATTAAATAAAAATTAAGTTTTGTAAAATGTTGTAAACAAGCAAAATTAAGGTGAAATTTCCAAACCATTGTAGGCTAGTTAATTGTGATTCTTTTTATCTGTAAGGAATACTTTGTCATACAATGTTGCTAGTTAGTTCATTGAAGTTTTAATATGACATGTTAAAAAAGTACAATTATACCCTATAATATATTTTTTATTTTATTTTTATTAAAATATTTTTATTTCCGTTTTTTTTAGACTAATGATTTTTGTTCATTTGATATTTATAACATTTAAAATCATTTGAATAAATTGTAGTTGAGAATAAACTACAATTTTTTAGTCTTATTTTTGTAAACACGTAACATTTGGATTAGTGGATAAATATGCATAGTTTGATTTGCCCGGCCTTTTAATTATTTTGTTTCATTTCAAGTTAAAAAGACTTTTATATTAGGCCTACTTCTGCAATTTGAAATGTTAAATATTTACCGATTATTTGGTTCCTAAATATTATCCACACACAAATGAATTGCCGTTAAAGAATTTATAGTAACTGTTAATAAATTTAACATTCCCTTTACATTACTGATGTATTGCCAATAATGAATTAAACTTAACTTAACTTTGTAAATTAACATTCAAAGGGTTGGCTTTTACCTTCAAACCATTTCTGAGTCTAATTTGTAGTGAGTTTCATTTAAAATATGGTTTTCCTGCTAAACCTTCAAAGTAAGTAAGAGTTTATATGTAATGTGTAAAGTGTGAGTCTGCTGCAGTGATAAGACGACTTTGTACGACCTTCAATGCTGATAACAACAATTTAAGGTAAATCTAACTTCTAACTTTAGGGAAAATGTTAAGTAAACACCTCAAAATATTTTAAAATGTCTGTTAATCAGTTATAGATCGTTTTTGAAACCAATGAGGAGAAGTACTTAAACAGTTTAATTAAATAAGAGAAACTAGTGTACATGTTGCTCAAATTCGAGCAATTGCTTAGTATTACAGGCGTTATTTTAAAACGAATAACGGTAATAATTTCTGATGACTTTAAAAGACTCGACTCAAAGATTATGGAAATACCCAAGATGTACATAACAGATCGATATAATCAACATTTATTGTGTATAGTGTTTTCTAGAAAAAGCCTTACTCATAGCCGCATTAGGTTTCCAGACACATTATGTGTCCAAAAGCCTAACAGCACGACTCCCTTCCCATATGTGGAATCCGCCCTGAGCGATAGGGATCCTTGAGATTCGCTCTAACCTTTCCTCTCCCCTTCATTGGCAAGTTTTCATTCATTTTGTTTCTTAGTTTTTGTTTGTTTCTTTTTTTAAATTTGAACGCCTGAATGTATTCCTGGTTTTTCCTATTTCCGTAGCTACTTTTCTAAACGTCTCAATTGTTTCCTTGTCACTCATCATGTTTTATTTTCTCATCTCTAGACCTATCTTAACCAAGACTTATTCCTGTTCTCTCCTATTTGTCTCTTGAAGTGAACAATTTATAAATATGTGACTCGTGGTTTTTATTTCTTCACATCTACATACTTCCTCTTCCACCATGTGAAATCTTGGCAAATTCGCCTTAAAGTTGTCCATGACCTGTTACAAACTGCGTTTCATAATGGCCCATCTCCCATATCTTCTGTTTCCGATGTAGTCCTACCCGCCTCCTTGTCTTCCAAAATCAACAGCTTATGCAGTGATTATCCATCAGTCCTAAATTGAATGTGAAATCTTCAGGCGGCTGTTGGAGAGCACACTTAAACCCAACACGGAAGGGTGCTGGCTGTATTCGGCTATCTATCAACGACAATAGTATTATTTGTATTTCGTTCGCATCTACTAGTTAAAGTTTGTCCTGAGGCCTATATACCTGCTAAATCATTAAGATTTAGCAGGATCAAAATCAAGAATTCTGGTAAGATTCTGGTCAGTTGAAATATTAACTGAAATGTTTTCATCAATTTAGACAAATAATTAAATAATTATAGTTAATATAATAGAATCCACATTTCAAAAATATTAAAAAGCTGTTTTGGTTTATAGACTAATCGGAAAATTCGTATTCCATCAAAACGTGCAATTATGATAAATTATAAATTCAGAGAATGTTCAGGGAATTGTGATGAGTTAGATAAAATTCTTTAAATTGAAAAATAATATTGTCAAACCTACACTCATCTCCATTCATACTTGGCTTAAAATACCTACATTGTATGGTCGCCATTTCATAAGAAAGTATTAAAGTATTAAATGTGGATAAACTTTAATTTTTAACCCTAGCAATAATTTTTTTCCAAAAGTCCTACCTATGTAATGTTCATTCAAATTACTTGTTTACTTATGTAATTAATGTTTATTAACGACATTAGCGTCTCTACTTATCACAACGGAGGAAGGCAATCGTGAATAAAGCAATTGCAGCTTCAGCTCGTTATGAGGTTGTATCCTCGTAAATAGATTCAAGTAATTGTAGGTCTGTGTAATTATTCAATGAGGCAATCATCACCAGGTTAGGCTGCATGATCATGGAGATTGCTGCTAAATGAAGGTTGCTCGGCCACGATTGTAGCTGTAATATAAACCACGCTAAGGTTCTTATTTGCTGAAAGACGAGTTGAAGCTTTTCCTCACAGCGTGCAATCGTTTTAGAACTAACCGTGTTATGGCAGCAATATCTTGGTACTTGACAGGAAGACAAGTAGGGAATCCTGAAGGAATATAAATAGGACAATTGTTGATCCCGGAATGATGCAGAAGGATATTATAAAATGGAGACATTTGAGTTCATACACTGTTTCAACATTATAAGCTCCAATGGTTCAATATAGAATAGTAACAATATAAATTGATAATACTTCATAATATTGCACTTGATAATAGAGGAGACCTTTACAAAATATTTCAAAAATACTGTGGGTTGTAGAATTACCACAAGAAAAAACTATGGTTAATTCAAGAAACAATTTTAAAATTATTTATTTATTTTAAACTGAAACAAAAAGTTAATCAGATACATTAAACCTGAGGATCAGGAACTAATTTTATAAAGAAAGAATAGGTTAGAGAATACAATTTGACGGAAGAATAGGAATTCAATTTTGATTGTAAGAAAGAAAACTGAATTGAATTCTATCCTTGTTCTTACTTTCTTAAATTTTAACTTGGTAAAGGTACTTGATCATAGGTTATTTACAATGAATGATATCCGAAAACAACAGTTAAATTTATAGTAAACTGATAGAAGTTTTTAAATAGCCTTCCTTTGAATTTTGTGGCTTTTAGTACTAAAAAGTATAAGCTTTTTAAGTACACACAATTTTTTTAATAATTTAAATCGTAGGAAGGAACAGTTGTCATCTGTACTGTTTTTTTTTAACGCCATCGTTTGATTGTGTTGACATGAGCTTTTATCCTAGAACACTATGGCAGTCAAATAACTGTTCTGCTTTTTGGTATTGCTGTTGTGTTTTGTTTTGATATCCAAAATTATTAGTTTATCATTTCCGAATTTTGAAATCAGCTTGTTAAAAAAATTGAAAACATCACGCTATGCTTGATATCTAGATGTGTTAAGGCCAACAATACTTTCCCTTATCAACTTAGAGCTCAAAGGGGATTAGATAAGAAAACAGGAAGAACTACGACTTAGTCAACAGATTGGAGAGTAGCCAAAGAGTTGCCAGCCTCATTACAAGGCCGAAATGTAAAAACCTACTCAAACTTGTTGATACCGTTGATCGATGGATATTATCTTAAGGAAAAATCTCAGCGTATACTACAAAAATGTTAATTCGTCTATACTGAAGTAGACATTTAATTATTAAATATTACTTTGAGTTAAATATTTCTAAAAATTTATTCAACTAGCCTATCACAGAGTGAGCTGCAATCAAGCTTTTTTTCTGTTAGTCAAAGAATATAATATTAAGTGTTAATCTCTAGTGTTAATGTTTTTCAAAATTTTTCTATTTTGATTGTATCTATGAGTTAATCACCCATTGTTTTATTCAACAAACTAAAGAGACCAACAATTTTAAATCCCATATTTTGGGTTTTAATATTTTGATGAATTGAATTGTTTTCATATTTGTTGGGCTCTGCGTGTGTGTCTACAAACAGCATCACATCACATTCACCCTTACATTCAATTCTTTCTCAAGTACGCCAAAGCTGTGCTAACATTTTTACTGTCCTGATTTCCAATAAGGTACCTTCGTCTTATCCTGACAGCCATTTGACAGCAGTAGGTAAAAGTTTCAAACAGATAAGTTGGAATAAGCCACTAAAGTGCAGTTTTGTTGCATAGTTTACCGTTTTGTGCTGTCGATTACTATTTAAAAAATTAAAAATACACTTTTCCACCTTTTTCTGTATCGAGGTGTCTCATAAAACAAGGGGTTATGGGTACCCTAATAGTCCCATAATATTTACCGCTTTTCCACATGTAGTTTTTTTGCAGACTTCTGTTAATCCGAACAACTTGTAACCCCAATTAGTCTAGTATCATTGATGAGGGCTTGTATCTCTAAATAAATAATTTTGTTCTATTAGTTCTACATCTAGAGTTATTAAATCTTGTCGTTGAATCAGTCGTTAATGCAACATGGGTCTTTTCCACCTCCCTTCCCTCCCATTTAAGCACTTTGCAATGGAATAGTAATAGTTTTATTACCTATGAAGATGAGTTTTTTCTCAAATACCATATAAACTTCATTTAAAGGTAGACAAAACTTCTATTTGAACTGTTACACTCAGTAAACTTTATTGTTATTGTTTTCCTTAACAATTTATCTCTTGTGAAGAAATTTTTAGATAGCAAAATATCAAAACAAAATTCTACCATCAGCAAGTGAAAGATGAACTTTGTATTAAAGTAATAGATTTTAA